GTTTGTCATGTATTTGAAGGTCTTAATGATATTGGAATTTGGATATCTTGAGCTTGTTGGATTTGTATCGTCGAGCTGCTTGATTTGATTATAAGCATGTCACATTTAGAAACAGTTTGGTAATTCAAATTGTGGTTTGAACCTTCCAACAGTGCTTTGGGTCCTTGATTTGGACCCATTTGGGCTTGGATTGAGTTGAATTTTGTGTCATTGGGTTCATATTTTCGAAATGCTCAGTTCAACTATAAGTTTGCTGAAATCAGAGTTCATAAGATCCTAGATTTAATTTTTGAAGTTTCCAACTTAATTTTTGCTTTGAGATTCGTACCCGAACAAGATAATTTTTTGTTGATATATCAATTCTAATTTGATTTTATCTCAGCCAAGCATCAAAACTATCAGGGGCGCAATTTTTCATCCATCAAGCTATAACTAGTAAACACTTGCAGCATAATCAAATTGAACCCATTAAAAAAAAACACACAACCCATTCAAATATTAAACAAAATTTTATACCTCGAACAAGGATTGAAAGAGTTGCGGTGGTCGAAGGCAATGAGAATGCGAAAATGTGAGAGTTAGAATATTACATCGACTATGCTATGAAAAATGGGATGGTCGGCGAAGGCATAGTAAGCTAAAGGGTGCATGGATTGTAGCTTGAATGTTGGAAACTATTTCTTTTGATTATTTGGTATGATTTGATATGAGATAAGCAAATACTTACTATGATTGTTTGTTAGCTCTCTAAGCTAGAGTGATTGGTTGACTTGGGCTAATTCTAGTGTATAATGATAATAATGATTTACCAATAAAGTGAAGTTAGCTTGATAATAGACATCACTTCATGTTACCTTCATGAGCAAGATATAACCTTATATCCACTCTATGTTGTAATGTTAGTGTTGAATCTTACACTTGAATTATGATTTGATATTTATGATTTATTGTAGATGGATTCTTATACTTGAAAGATTTGAGTAATGCTTGACTTTATTTGTAATGATTGTGCCAGTTTTGCGGGAAGGCATACTTTAGACCTTAAATATATGTGCAAAATTTGTTGCTTGTAGAATGTATTTGGTTTATTTGAGTTTCAAATATGAAACATTTTAAGGGTAGAGAGAATGCAACAACTCATATAAGGAAAATGTTTTGGATCGGGTCAATCCAGTTAACCCATTTCTCTCAGTGCCTTATCAAAGGGAGTGGTGAAATTTATTAGATCCTGAATCATGATTTTAGGTATCACAACTGTGACATTGAGTGCAAGGAAGGGAGACTGGATGCTAGAATCCAAGAGATGTTGAAAGAAGATCAAGAGAAGGGATGAGTAGGGTAAAAATTCCGAGAGATTGTGCAATTGAGATGGAGATGTGACATAAGTGGAAATTTTGTGGTGTTCTTAGAATATGAGATCATATTATGGGAGATTAGCAAAATGAGGAGTCAAACATGTTGATCCTTAGTTGAAATTTTAAGGAGAAGTTACAAGACTTAGTTGCATCATCATCTTATCCTTCCTAATTTTTCAAGGCAAGATAAAACAAAACATAATCTTTTTTTTTATTGATGTTATAATGTGACACCTAAAGGAAGCTAATCAAAATATAATGCATGATTTATCAAGCCCTAACATGCATCCATTTCCTCAATTACTTTTAAACCTTAGTTTCTTTAATTATAACACAATTTGAGATAGTTATTATTCATTAGATTTTTGGTTGGAGAATTAGTCAATAATCAAAAGAATCCAAAGTGTTGAGTGAATATAAGTCTTGGATAGATGACCTATTTTTATTTGATTGATGAACTATAATGCTCATTTAAATTGAAAAAAAGATTTAAACGATAAGTTACCCAACTTGAATGAATTTAGGTGGAATTTAATCCACGTCTAAATTTAGTGTTTTAATTTTGAGATTTTATTGACATGTTTATATTTTTGTTACCTTAGATTGAGTTTGATGGAGTAGGTGGGATTTTGATAAACCTAATTATCTCATAGAATGATCAACATAAGAGTATGGTTCATGAAGCTAAATCAAATGTAAGATTATGCTAAGTTGGTTTTAAGAGATAATTAAAGGTAAAATGATTATATGAAAATATTTGATTTGAGAATTATTTTATGATTAAGATTGTTACTTGATTTTTTTTAGTCTTATAGTTATGATTTTTTTGTAAATATAATGAATATCTATTTGAGCTAGATTCTCTTGAATTTAGGGTTTATGGAGCTCCATATGTTGGAGCGAGATATATAAGAGTTATGATTGATTTGTCAAATTATTTTTGGTTTTTATCAAGTATGTGAACCTTTGTTTATTAAGAGATAAGCATATATTTTTAGCTATGGGCATTTTATAGCTTTTATTTATTTATTAATGCATATTATGGATTTTTTTTCATTCATGATGTTTCATGTTTTCATTATGATATGATAGGATAATTATTTAACTTTTACATGTTAGTTATTGTATAAATTCTTATGATGTTTATGAACATTGCTTTAACTATTGGGAAATAAATCTTGTTCATAAAAATAATTATTTTATTTGATGTATAGTAGAATACAAATATACTATTTATAAAAATTTTATTATTACACCTTATTTACACTAGAATCGAATGCTCAAATAAACAAATAAAAAGAATATAGTTAACACCAAAGATTTTATATGAAAAACTCAAAGGAGAAAAAATATGGGGCTATGCCCAGTTAAAATAATTTCATTGTGTGAGAACCTTACTTAAGTTAGAGACAAGTAAGATTACAAGATTATGAGGAGCTATTAGAAAATATCATACGATCAGTATGGTGTGAAAGACATTTGAAAGGTTATAGTTGAGTGATAATGATTCGACAATATTGGTGGTGACCTAATAATAGTGATTGAGCAGTAGTGGCCCAAAGGCAATGGTGGTTGGGTTGCGACGGGTTGACAATGATGGTCGAGTAAGGATGGTAGTCAGGTGGTGACAATCTGTTAATGGCGGTCGTGCGACATTGATCTAGCATTGGTTGTCCGACGAAGGTAGTGGTTTGACAACTATGGTTGGGTAGGGATAGCTAACAATTTGATAATGGTGATCTGACGACATTAAATTATAATAGTGGTCGGGTGGTGCCACTTTGACGATAACTATCAGACAATAAAGGTTTGACAATGAAGGTTGGGTTGTACAAGTCTGATGGCAGTGGTCAGGTGGTGGTTTAATGGTGGCCATCAGGCGGTGAAGGACTGATAGTAGGCTTGGATGATAGTTTGACAGTGGTAGTCGGATGGTGAAAGTCCAACAATAGTGATCAGATTGTGAAGGGCTTGACAATGACTATTAGATAGTGTTATGATGTTAGATGATGTTAGTCAAGCAATGGTACAATGGTTGTAGTCAGGTGATGATTCAATGTTTGTGATCCGGCGGTGGTCCACAAGTGGAGCTTTGTGGTTCTTCAAGCCTCTGAGCTCTCTTGAATCTCAACCAATGGATTCTTATTATGTAAAGAGTGGATGCCTATTTATAGATTTTTAAGAATACCGGGTCTAATAAATATAAGAAAAATTAGGAACACACCATCTTGTGACCCATATTAATTCCCAAATCATAATGTATTTGTTCAACATTTAAGTACTTTAATGTTATTGGGATTAAGCAAACTTGATGCGACGCATTTGTCATCCTCCTCCTCTATTTAGTCCCATCCATAAAGCAAATACACCAATTTGCTTCTCATGAAATGCTGATCAGATAGCCATTTCCATCATCCAAAAAACCTATTACCAAAGACCATTACAAGTTATATGCTCCTTCCATATACCCTTTTCTCAAATTTGTCTTATTTTGTGTCTATTCCCTTAAAGAAATATTTTTCTATGAAATAAAAGTTAGTATAACATACAAATTTTATACAATCAAATACAGCCTGTAAACCATTGCAGCAATTCCTTAGGCTTATCTCATGCAAAGTCAGTCCAATAGAATAGCCAAAGGCATCCTAACACCAAAAAGATGATGCTGATTTATGTTTTTTAAATTAAGAAAAAGTCAAAAATATATAATATTTTATATTTAATTTATTAACATATTATACAATATATTTTTTTAAAAAAATATAGCTCTATGTTTTTTGAAAAGATAATTCTCTCAATATATCGAGAAATTATTAGATTTACTTTGAGATTTGTGCAAGAAAAACACTGTCTTAGTATTGAAAGATTATTAGATTTTCTTTGAGATTATAAATGCCGGAGATTAATTTTGTGTGTTTGGTTTGAAAGTCAAATGAGTTTACTGGAAAGCGTGAACATGCTCATCAATGGTTGCGGCTATAGTAGTGCGACGATGGGCTGGTAGTAGTGGAAGGTGCAAGGTGGTGGTTAGCAATGATTAGCGATGGTGTCTAACGGCGGCGATCCTTGATGACATTATGCGAAGTCGGCCAAAATCTATTGAACTAAATTGCGAATATTAATGTAAAAATAAATCCAAATGCTCATTAGTGGCTACAACTACATCTGACGATGGACTAACAACGACAAAAGGCAATGATGGTGTCGGGCAGGGACGGGTGCTCCGTCGGTATTAAGAGAAGCTTCACTCTTTCAGTGTATTTGAAAATCGATCAAAATTGGGAAAAAATATTCTGTGCGGTGCCGGACGGCATCGAGAGGTAAATCAGAACGTGTCATATTACCTTTTTATCGTGTAGCGGTAGTATGTATCGCTATATATCGGGTAACGTAACGCGTTCTGATTTTATATTAATAAAATGATGAGCAGTGTTTCTTCTTTAGGTCAGATGCGTGGACTTAAGGAAATGGGGCGTGCACTCGCAAAGGGAACCGATAAAGTTATTTTAGAATAAACGAAGTTGCGAAACATCATACTTACTCGACGAAATTTCGCCCACGGGAAGGGGGGGCGGTGGGTCCCACCACCACAGTTTTATTATGACGGAGCCGCCCGCTTTTGTCGTTTCTCTCCGTCTTTCATTTCTACCCTCGCCTTCCTCTGTCTTTCTCTCTTCCCCCCTTTGTTCTGCTTCATGGTCTTCTTAATCTCTCTCTCTCCTGCCTTTCCTTTGACTCCTCCCCTCTTCTTCTTCCTTGGGCTCCTGCTTCTCCTCTTATTAACCTCCTCCGCCTCTTCTTCTCCTCTCCGAGCTTGTTCGTCTTGCCTTCTTCTACAGGGCCGGCGGTTCTGATCGCAGAGGCGGAACCGCAGGATCGGAGTGAAGGAACGGTGTGGGGAGCTGGGGTTCCCCTGGAACTTTACTTCCCGATCTCTCGCATGAGCAAAGTTGGGACCTTTTGTAGGTTTCGAGGATCACCGGTGTTTACTTTTTCGGTTCTTTGTGTTTCTTCTACCTGTGCATGAGATTAGAAGAGGTTTCGCCATGGCTGGAGGCAACGAAGTTAACGTTAACGAGTCTAGGGTAAGCGCTGCCTCTCCCTTTACCCGCTATCCTCTTTTGTGAATGCTGGATACTCATTTCCCCCACTTTGATTGAGAATTAATGCGTTGGTGTTGGTTACGATGGCTTTCGGAATTAAAATCTGCAGTTTCTAGGGTTTTGCATCCGGCAGTTTCGAGGGTTTTGTTTTCTGTTTCAACTTTCAATTATTGCGTGCTTTTGGATTTTCTACTATTCTTCAGAGCTTATCGTTAATGGAAGTCGGTGTTACACGACAAATGTTAATATCGGTCTGATATTTTGCTCTAGGGTTTCTCTTTGTGCGCGGGAAATGATCCCGAGAATTTGTTCTGCTTCGATGAGTTCTGTAGAAGCTCAATATCATCTTAGTAAAAAAATTCAAAACTTTCCCCAAAATTGAAAAAAATTTATTCTTTATCCCTTAATTGACCTGCAATCCCTTCTAAAAATGCACGGAAAGGTAAAAAAATAGAAGCAAAATCTAAATAAAAGAAAAAAAATATCCTCAAATTACAATTTTGTAGTCTGAAGCTAACATTTCTTTTTTATCCACTTCTCAGATGGTGGTTCCCCTGAATACCTTTGTTCTGATATCAAACTTCAAAATAGCCTACAACATGCTCCGGCGCCCCGATGGCAGCTTCGACCGCCACCTTGCAGAATTCCTCGACCGGAAAGTCCAAGCTAATGCTTCTCCAGTCAATGGCGTCGTTTCCTTTGATCATATTCTCGACCGCCAAACCAATCTCCTTGCTAGAATCTACTGCCCAGCCCCAGATCCTGCAGATGTTGAGCTTCCCCAGTTGGTTGCCATCTATGAGCTTCAGAAAGCCCCCTCGCCCAACCCTTTTCCGGTGATCATCTTCTTCCATGGTGGCAGCTTTGCCCACTCCACCTCAAGCAGTGCAATCTATGATACTCTATGCCGCCGCTTGGTCACTCTCTGTGGCGGTGCCGTGGTTATCTCCATCGACTATCGACGGTCTCCCGAGCATCGTTTCCCATGTGCATATGACGATGGTTGGACTGCTCTCAAATGGGCATCTTGTCAGCCATGGCTCCGCAGCGGCAAGGATGCGAAGCTGCGTGTTTTTCTTGCCGGTGATAGCTCAGGAGGCAACATCGCCCACCATGTTGCAGTCAGAGCTGTTCAGTCTGGAATCAGCATCTCAGGAAACATACTTTTGAATCCATTATTCGGGGGGAACAAGCGAACCGAATCCGAACTAAAGCTTGATGGAAAGTATTTTGTTGCATTGCAAGATAGAGATTGGTATTGGAGAGCTTTCCTCCCTGAGGGAACTGACAGGGATCATCCAGCCTGCAATCCTTTTGGCCCTAATGGCGTCGAGCTTGAAGGACTTCCTTTTCCAAAGACACTTCTTGTCGTGGCCAGCTTAGACTTAACTCAAGACTGGCAACTTGCTTATGCAGAAGGGTTGAAGAAGGCCGGCCATGAAGTCCAGCTTCTCTACAGAGAGCGGGCGACCGTCGGTTTCTACTTCCTGCCAAACACAGAGCACTACCATGAAGTCATGAAGGAGATCAAAAGCTTTGTGAGATGCGATTTGTAATGAAGGAGCAGCTGCATTACACAGCTTCTATCATAGATAGTATATAATATATATTTATATGATTTTGCCTCTCTATCTAAAATCAGAGTGGGGTTTTATGTGTTATCTGGATGAGATCAGAAGAAACTATCATGAACGTGCGTGAGCATTCACTGAAGTACAGATGAGAAGGAAATGTGAATGCTGCTGCTGCTGCTTCTTCTACTACTGCTGCTGCTTCTGCTACTACTAACAAAAATGGTTTTCAGTGACTATTTTCTGTTCATGTTCTTGCTCCATTTCAATGTTTGGATTGATATTGGATGCCTAACGGATCTTGTATTATTGCTAATAATATCCATACAATGGTTATCCCTTCAATGTTCTTGTTCTTGTTGAGATCTGCTACTGTTCTGTGTATTACTTGGGATTCTGCTACTCTTTCTCAGTTCATTTCTTTCTTTGAATTGCTAATAGATGTTGATTTTGGGTTTTATTCGGGATGATTTTCTTATTGTTTCTTAAATTAATTTTTTAGTATAAAAATTTTAATTTTTATATTAAAAAGTTATTTTAAGAATCACTAAAGAAAGTTATTACAAACAAAGCTTTCGTTACCAAAGATTTATATTATGCTGCTCTTCAGCAAGTTGGTGTCTTTTTTTTAATGATATTTATTTTGTTAATTGCATATAAATATTGTAATGTTGGGGGATTTATCTGAATAATATTGAAAATTTAAATATTTAAGACAATTTTTTATATTTATTTGGATAACATTAGTGTTTTACTATATTCAATGTATTATTAATATTTATTTACATAAAATAAAATATATCTATTTATTGCATATTTTTTATATATGCTCTGATTTTATGTAGGTTTAGGATGGTAAAAGGTAAATATTTTACAAAGTAAGTGGTATTTACGTAAATATTTTTTTAAAAATTTTGTTACACATTTCACAATAATGTTTTTTTTAATAATTTATTTTTTGCTGTTTAAATATAATATAAAATCATATATTAAAGCCAAATGAAGGAAGAAAGGATATGATAATTGATGCAATTGATAGATACTCTTATCTTTATTTAAATTTTCTCGTAATTAAAAAATTATCATTTATAAAACGAGGGTTAACTTTACATTAAAAATAAAATAATGCATTTAACCCCTCTTTAAAAGTTGTATTGCATAAGAAATAAAAGGGAATTTGCAGAATAATAACTAAAAAAATGGCCCATCATATGCTGAGCCTACTTTTGGAGGGATGTTCGGCCGTTACGTGGCATCGATCCTATATGCGTTGTGGCAGTGCTTCGTGTCTACACTCTACATAGATATTTTAGGGCTTTTGGTTGCTATGTTTATCTTAGGTTGAGATAATTATTTTGTGAAATAATTAGGTTGAATATTATTATTATTTTCTCTCTATAAAAAAGTTCAAAGTTCTAAATTTTTAATATTATAATAAAAAATGATATATCTCTCGAATAGTCATATGATTGGTATGAATTTCAAGATAATATTTTAGTTTAAAAATTTCAGCTTCAAATTTAGGATAACGTAAATTCTGATTTCAATGAATTTATAATTGAATTGAGCGTTGATACGTTGTCAAAAATGGCCTTGATCAAGTATGAATCTCAACGTAAATATGTATTTGAAACTTCCAAAATTAAATTGGGGATCATCCAGACTCCAATTTCAACAAACTTATAGTTGAACTGAACGTCTCGGAAAGATGAACCCAACGACGTCAAAATCAGTCTAATCCGAGCCCAAATCAAGAGTCCAAAGCATATTTGGAGGATTCAAAGCATAATTTGAATTACCAAACGAGACATGCTTAATGTCAAATCAAGCGGATCGATGAGAGGAATCCAAATGATATCATTTAGACATTCAAATGATCAATAAATGGTCCAAGATCAAAGGGATCAATATTGACCGTCCATTCAAACAACTCCCATCTTGACCTTGATACTCCCCATATTTACAAGCCATGACACTTTAAAAAAACTATAAATAACTCCCATTCTTCTCATGAGGGGAGAAGGAACAAAGGAGAAAGAGAAGGAAAAAAATTGGGAGCTTCTTCACTACCGACCACCACCGATGTTCTTCTTGACCACCGTCAAACTTCCGCCCGTTCGTCGATCACCAACGGACCTCTACCCATTCGTCGACCACCTCCAAAGTTCTTCCAGATTGCCGCCAAACTTCTACCTGTTTGTCGATCACAAATAGACTTCCACCCGTTTGCCAACCTCCAATAGAGTTCTTCCTAACCACCGCTAGACTTTTGCCTGTTCGTCGACCACCTTCGAGCTTCCGCTTGTTCGTCGACCACCATCGAAATTCTGTCCTTCGTTGACCACCGTTGGGGTTCTTCTCGACAACCATCAGACTTCCACCCTTTTGTCGATCACCAACAGACTTCTAACCATTCGTCGACCATAACCAGAGTTCTTCCCGGCTGCCTTCGGACTTCCGCATGTTGGTCGACCACCGCTAGACTTCCTCCAGTTCCCCGACCACCGCCAGAGTTCTTTTCGACCACCGTCGCCCGCCGTCTACGGTCCTTCTAACCACCATCGCTCGCCGACTTTGGTCCTCCTGACTACTGTTGCTTGACTACGATCTTTTCAACCTTTGTCGGCTGATGCTATGGTCCTTCCGACCACCGTCGCCTGATTACGGTCCTTCCACCGTCATTTGACTATGGCCCTTCCAACCTACATTTCTCGCCGACTATAGTTCTGATGCCCAAACAAACGTATCAACACTGATTCTTCCAACTCCCACCATATAATACTCTATATATGATTTATAGTTGCTACATCGAGCCAAGACCTTCCTCTTAAGGAAGGACCTTATTTGTAATCAATTGCAAACACTAGTGGATTCATTTAAACCAGGTCAGATTGCGTGGTTTTTCTCCTTTTAAGGGGTTTCCACATAAAAATTATGGTGTCTCTTATAAACGCTATAACCATACTCTCTCATATTTATGTGTGCTAGATCTTCACACAAAGCTAAGATGCTAAACTATAACACTCTATACCGCCGTGAATATTTCTAGACAAAACAAACATATTAAAAAGATGAATTTTTCAACATCATAAATTGTATGATTTGACTTCAAATGAGCTTAAATCAAGCACTTGAAATAGACTTAGAAGTTTCATAATATTTGTTGAGGGGTCAAACGATCACAAAATCTTGGATGTTTATAGCCAAATAGAGTAAATCGATGAGGCAAATCCAACTAGCCCAAGGTTAATAAATTCTGGCATAATTAAGGCACTCAACTATTGAATAATTGTTTCATAATAAAGGGGATCAATATGTACCATTCAATAAAGTGTTTTAGTTTTTAGCCAAAATAAAAAAATATCTCTAAAAAAAAAATAAGGGCTCCAGTCTTTATATGAGAGAGAAAGAGATGATGAAATTTATTGTATTTTCTAGTGATCACCTCCAATTACCACCATTAGCAATCGTCGCCACCAATGTCGGACTTCTATCATCCGACTATGATTGCTTGACTATTAACATCTAATCATGTTTGTAGGCTTTAACAATAAGTATGTGAAAATCGAATTTCATAATCCCTATAATGAGAATCAAACAATTGTTCTCAACAATGTATAATCTCATCTTCTTTGAAGGAAGGGAGAATTCTTTTATCTTTTATTATTTAATGAATTCATTCAATTAGGGTAGGCCCCATGACTTTTTCCCTTCTTGGGTTTTACATAAAAAAAATTCTTATCTCTTATAGCTTTTATCTGAATATGCGAGATATTTGTACAAAGCTATGATATATAATAAATACATACTCCATTGCATATTTTTTAGTATATAAAAATTTGGCATTATTTATGAAAACTTACTCCCAATATACTATAATACTTTAACAATGGTTGACAATCTATTCCTTAATCAAGAATAGCACAATATAGGTGGTGAAGGTTCTCCATATCTTAGTTTGAAGGATCATATGCATAGGATTAAAGTATTTTAAGTTCAAATGCAACAAGTTTTTAAGGAGGCTGAATAATAAAGAGCCTAGTCATAGTATGATGGAATGCTCCCATCATGCCACTCTAAAAAAACTATCAAATAACCCCCATTCTTCTCATGAGCAATACCTCATGATTTAGTTTATCGTCTACCATAGCCTCATTAAGTTCTCTTGGACACTACCAATTGAATCTGCCCTTCACGTGTCATTCAACAAGGCCTTAATCCTCCACTAGCCATGATGGACTTAAATCAACATCACTTTATTGACGCACCCATGATATTATAATAGATGTGCGATTATGCTTTATTTACGAGGAATTTTTTTATGGGAAAGGAACCAATTTATCTTTCATTATAACTTTCAAGAATCTTTAACACTTATTGATGTAATGCTTTAGCATCATTTTCTATTGGGGTTTAGATTACTTACAATTAATTTATATGATATATAGGACTTCTAAACCCTATGAGCACTTGCCTTTCTCCCACCTTTGTCCAAGACAAAGATATATCATGCATTTTATACCATAGAGAGCTTCATAAGGGACCATTCATATACTTAACTAAAAGCTTTTATTATAGGAAAACTTAATTAAAGGATAATAATCTTCTCAACTTCCTCCAAAATTTAGAACACAATTTTATTAGGTCCTATAATATCTAAATAGTCTTCTCAAACTGTTCGTTAGTATGGGGATAAAAGTTATATTAAAGTGCAATCTAGTACTTGGACCCTACTATATACCTCTCTATACCCTAGAGGTAAACCAACCATCACATTAAAAAATGATAACTTTTTGAAATTGTGCAACTGAATAATATCCTACATATATATCTATGATAACCTATCTATAGAATTAGTTTGTTTGGATAGAATTAAAATGATCCACCATGACCTAGATAGCATCGTGGTCTTACCTAGATCTCAAAAAATTCATAACATAATCCATTGTTACACTATCTCATTTTCACTCTAAAATGGCAACAACTATAGAAGATTAGATGGTCATTGATGCTCTACTTTCACTAATTGACAAACTTCACATTTTAAAAAAAATTCATCACATCTTTCTTTAATTTAGGCGAACAGAACATACCTTTTAGATCACCACACACCTTACTACTTTTTGGATGAATTATATAGTTTGAATAATGTGCCTCATGCATAATCTCAGTCTTCAAATCTTCAATAGAAGGGACCCGCAATCAATTCTTATATAAATAACACCATAATCATATACTTGTAGTTTAGATTTTTTTTTTCTTTTCAAATTTGATCTGATCAATAAACTTTAGATACTCCATATTTGATTTTTGAGCTTCCTGAATCTTCTTCTACATACTAGGTTGAATAATCCTTTAAAATA